ATCAATAAAAACATATTTAAAAATAAAAAACAGTCAGTAAGCCAGATCTGGCCTCTAAACTGTAGTTTGCAGACTCATGGATGGTCTAGAATAATGCTGCCCAATAGAAACATAATGAGAGCCACATATATGACTTAACATTTTCTAGTAACCTCTTGTAAAAGCTAAAAAGAAATAGGTGAAATTGATTTTAATAATATATTTTATTTAACCTAATATATCCAAAATATTATAATTTCAATATATAATCAATATAAAAATTACTAATGAGCTATTTTACACTTTTCATACTAAGTCGTCAAAATCCAAACTGTATTTTACACTTATAGCACATCTCAATGCATTCTAGCCATATTCCAGGAGCTCAATAGCTACATATGGCTGGAGGAAACCATGTTGGACAGTGTAGGTCTAGAACACTATTTTCAAACTTTAGCTTGCATCAGAACCACTGGAGGACTGTTAACATAAAGATTATTGGGCCCCACTCCTGGAGTTTCTCAGTAGGTTTGGGCAAGGCTCCCAAACTCGCATTTCTAACAACTTCCTAGGTGGTTTTGATGTTGTTGGTCTGGGGACCATGCTCTAAGAACCACTTATCTATAAGGTGGGGTAGAAAGAAAAGTAGAGAAGCAATTAGGAGCCAGAAATATGTAAAAGCAAGAAGTAAAAAAATGAATACTGGACAAGATACCATCATACACCTAATAGAATGGCCGAAATTAAAAATACTGATGACACCAAATGCCAGCGAGGATGTGAAACAATGGGAACTTTCATCCATTGCTGGTGGGAATGCAAAACGATATAGGCAGTTTAGAATAGAGGTTGGCAGTTTCTTATAAAACCAAACATACTTTTATCATACAATCCAGCAATCACACTCCTTGGCATTTACCCAAATGAGTTGAAGACATGTTTATACAAAAACTGCACATGGATATTTATAGCAGCTTTATTCATAATTGTCAAAAGTTAGAAGCAACCAAGATGTCCTTTGGTAAGTGAATGGATAAATAAACTGTGGTACATCCAGACATGAAATATTATTCAGTTCTAAAAAGAAATAAGTTATCAAACCATGAAAAGACATGGAGGGACCTTAAATGCATATTACTGAGTGAAAGAAACCAATATGAAAAGGCTACAACTACATGACATGCTGAAAAAAGCAAAATATAGAGACAGTAAAAAGACCAGTGGTTACCAGGGGTTAGGCGGAAAGGAGGGAGGGATGAATAGGTGGAACACAAAGGATTTTCAGGGCATTCTGTGTGATACTGTAGTGGTAGATAAATGTCATTATACATTTGTCAAAACCCATAGAATGTACACCACCAAGAGTGAACCCTCATATAAACTATGGACTTTGGGTGATAATGATGTGTGAATGCAGGTTCACTGAATGTAACAAATGTACCACCCTGATGCAGGATGCTGATATTGGGGTAGGCTGTACATGTATGGGGGCAGGGAGTAAGAGGAACTCTGCATTTTCCACTTAATTTTGCTGTGAACATAAAACTGCTTTAAAAAATAGAGAGAAAGGGAGAGAACCAGATTATTAAGTCAGAAAAACAGTAGGATTCCAGAGGTAAAGACCTTGAAACAGAGGTAGGGCCTTACAACAGGGGAAACCTCCCTTACACCGCCCTCCAAAGCAGAAGTCAAAGGAAGTAGTTTCTCCAGATTTCAATTTTGTAGGTGTGCCGGCGAAGGACAGGGCTGGAGAACCCTACCTCATTAGGGGCAGGCTCAGAATGTGAGCAGTTTTTCAAAACATTTTCAATGGAACATCTAGCTCTGACAAATTCCAAAAAAGATGCCCATGCCTCTTCTTATTTAACCATGATCTACAAAACAACCCAACTTCCAGATTGAACCTATAAGTATGTCCTCTCACAGTACCTTAGACTGCTGAAATAGACAGTGAGACACATAGGCAGCTTCAGGGGTGTCTTTAGGAGTCAGCAACATGTCGGAAGACGCCAAGGCCAAAATCAAGAACTACCAGACTGCCCCTTTTGACAGCCACTTCCCCAACCAGAACCAGACCAGGAACTGTTGGCAGAACTACCTGGACTTCCATCATTGTGAGAAGGCAATGACTGCTAAAGGGGGTGATGTCTACATGTACAAATGGTAACAGAGCGTGTACCACTATCTTTGTCCCATATCCTGGTGTCAGGCTGGGATGACTGCCTGGCACAAGGCACATTTCCTGGGAAGGTCTGAACTAGTTGCACCCCACCTGTCTCCTGTCCTCCATACTTCTCCAGGGAGGTGAAGGGGGACCTGGGTACATCCCACCCTAGGATCCTGAATCATGGCTTAACTAATAATAAAAAATTGTTGGAAAAGTGTAAAAAGAAAACAAAAGGAAAAAAAAAGGAAGTGAGACAAAATAATATAGAATTTGGGGCTGCACAAAGATTGCAACAATTAGGTGTGCATTTTCAGGAAGATTCTATAAATCCAGAATCTATTTCCCACCTTAAGGGTATATAATCATCCAATTTGGAAACCACATCTTTCATGAATGTCCTTTGATTACCCTTTGGAAGAAAGCTTGCTTGCAGCGAGCGGTACTTTACAACCTGTGAAGCTCTATAGGACCTTTAAAAAAGGGTCCCCTCATAAGTCCTTGAACTTTGTGACCGAAATTAAAACTCTGGATTATAATTTAATTGGCAAAATATTCTTAGTAATTTATTAAAATTACTAAGCACTTTAATGTGTATACAGGTATATCTTTATTAACTTTTCATAATTTTTTTATAAAGAAGCTGTTTTCTGGTCCATTGGTGTCAGAAAACCCTTCATTATATAGTTTAGGGATCTCTCAAATTGTTTATTGGGTACAGAGTTTCTGCTTGGATAATTTTAATATTTATGGAAATGGATAGTGGTGATAGCTGCACAACATTGTGAATGTACTAAATGCCAATGAATTGTATACTTGAAAATGGTTAAAATGGTAAGCCTTATGTATATCTTATTATAATTAAAAATATACATTAAAAGATTCATAGTTTTTCAAACTTTTGTGGGTACTATGAGAGAGAGAGAGTGGCAGAGAGACCAGTAAGCTCTCAAAGAAAGCAAGGAGGGAAAATGAGCTCCATATTAGCAACTTTAAGGGTGAGGTAGGAAAAGCCACTTCACCTGGTCCACTTTCTAAAATCAAAACTGAGTAGAGATCCAAAATAACTATCAAGACAATACGGGCCAATAAAACTTGCCCCCTATTCTATTTCTAATTTGTGCCTGAGTTAAAAGAACATCTTCCACTTAATCGAGTGCCTCTCTTTTTCTGGGCGTTTTTTTAAAACTGATTTTTTATTGATAGATTTAAAAAAAAAATTTTTAAAGAGAGAAAAAGGGAGGGAGGGAGGGGGAGAGAGACATTGATTTGTTGTTCCACTTATTTATGCATTAATTGGTTGATTCTTGTTTGTGCCCTGTGCCCTGACCGGGGATTGGACCCGCAACCCTGGCGTATGGAGACAATGTTCTAACCCGACCAGGGTTCAAGTTTTCGTTTTAAATATAACACCCTAAAAGGTGCTTATTGTGTTTACTTCTATCATCTTCGATGTTTCAACGCACGCAAATTTTTTCAGTTTTTGTCTCGGAATAAAAACTTGCATTGTTCTAAGATACCACATCCCCAAATGGGACTGCCAACGTAAACGGCTTGTTCGGTGCATATCGAAATGAACTTTGTTCAAAAGTTACATTAACACCAAAATGTCTTCACCTCCCACTGCAGCCTGGGACCTAGGACAGGAGGCAGCTCTCCCTCGGAAGGGGGTATCCCAGCTCCACCCAATCCCATAAGGGTTTCCTCACCCTCTGTAAACGGGCATAGGTCTGTTATTCTCCGGGCGGCTCCAAAGGATTCTGGGAGTGGGGGGGCTCGAAGGGCAAAAATTAAATGTTGGCACAAGGTGGGCAGCGGATAGGTTTAGGATTATCAGCCAGTTGCTGAGCGATTTCTCAAATCTTCCGACCACTTCCCTCACTTGTCTCCCGGGGTAAGCCCGCGCTCTTTCCCCTTCATGCACGCCCCGCCCCTCCACTCCCCTATTAGCCAATCATCGGGCTGGTGCTTGCCAGTCCCGGCCAATCCCGAACCCTTTTACTCTGAGCGGGAAAAGCTCAGAAGCTGCGAGAGAACGAGGGCTGCTAACCGCCCCCTCTCGGCCTTGTCTCTGGGGGGTGGAGGGTAACGGGCCCCGGAGGCGGTTGCCCATTGGCTGGGCAGAGGGCCAATGGGGGGGTGTAAAACAGGGGGCGGGTCTCACAGGAGGGGGCGGGTCGGGGCGGTTCTGTGCCGGGTCGCGAGCTGGGTTTGGCAATATA